AGCAATCTTTTAGGACTTTGTATCAGTAGGATATTTCAGATGCAAGGAACAAGAAAGCATGACTAAAAGTGGCTTTAACGATAAGGAAATGTATTATTGCCCATAAGTCCAAAGATAAGGCATGGCTAGGAGTGGTATGTCCAGTTCCAGATCCGTTTCTCCATATTTTTTCTACTTGGACCTTCTCTGTCTATGGCATCGACCTCAGACTGGAGATAAGATGGCCGAGACTGCACAGGCCTTACAATTAAAAGCATCTAGAGAAAGAAGAGGAATCATTTCTTTCTTAAATGGTTTTTAAGGAATTTGGAATTTTTCCCTCAAGCCAGCTACTCACCTGCTATGTTTGTCCCCTTCTAATCTATGTGGAAGCTTGATCCCCAGTGTGGCAGTGTTGAGAGGGGGGGCCTTTGGGAGGTAATTGGATCATGAGAGCTATAACCCTCATGAATGAATTAGTCCAATCATAGATTAATGGACTAATGGATTAATGTATGAGTGGATTATCATGGGAGGGGCACTGGTGGCTTTATAAGGAGAGCAAGTGAGCATGTTAACATGCACTTTTCCCCCTGACTATGTGATACCCTACACTGTCCCAGGACAAGAGTCCCCACCAAGGGAAATAACCTCCCCAAAAGCACCTTCTAGACTTTGGACTTCCCAGCCTGTGAAAGTGTAAGAAAAAAACTCTATTTCTTTATAAATTACCCAGTTTCAGGTATTCTGTTATAAGCAACAGAAAGTGGACTAATACACTAAGCTTGCATCAGACATCCTCTCTTATCCATTGACTAGGATTTGGTCAATTGTCTGTTCTGAGCCAGTCATTGACATGAGTTGCACAGTTACCATAATTTAGACTAATCATTCAAAGAAGAATGAATATTGGGGAGTTTATCACATTAGCTATCACAATATGAAAACCCTTTACCTAACAATTCCATCTCTGAAAATTTTTTAAATTAAGACTTTTTTTTTTAAGAATTAATACTTTTTCCAAAAGGTCCATAGAGCTCTATGGTAATATTAATCCTTTTTCTAGCTGTGATACTGCCCTTCGCAAGACAGAAGACCCAAAGAGTTTTGCATGGTCTTGGAAAGCCCTCTGTCCCCAACAGTCACTGCTTCAGGACCACAATCTAAGATACCAGTCCCAGAAACATACTCTAATGAGAACTGAATATCGAGCTAACCTTAAGAAATGTCAGGACTGATCCCATCATGCCCTACAATACTGTTTCTCTTGGTGACCACAAGGCCCAAGTTCATTCCCTAGACTCTTGTCCCCATACAAATTGGTGTACTCCTACTCTGACCCAGTATCACACCCATCCCAGGTCCCACAAATATTTCCATGTTGCCTTCTGAAACTCCAGGTCCGGAAATAGCAAAATCTTCTATCCTCCAACTCTTCTCTAAATGTTGTCTTCACCTGTGTGCTCAAACCAAAGCCAGAATGGTCATTTTTCTCACACACCCCTTGACCCACTGGGCTGAGAGCCAGATGAGGTCTTCCTCTTGCTCCTCAGTGCAGCTTCTGAACGACTGTGACTCCTTCTTCACAAAAAA